AAAAAAAAAAAAAAAAAACCCAAAAGAAAAAAGCAATAATTTTAAGCTTCAGGGTCTGATTTCAGCATTGAATTGAGCAGCTGCTTTTAGACCATTGGCTCTGCTGCTCTGCCCAGGGTGCCCAGCAGGCCTGGGCACCTCCCAGGACCAATTTCAGAGCCACACACGGCTCCTGCTGCTCAAGAGCCTGGAGCACAGCAATAAAAAATAGGATTGCAAAGCTACCAACGGTGCTGCAGCCTTTTATTGAGTCTTTCTAGTGCGTACAGACACGGAGAGGGTGCATCCCACCCCAAAAACCCATGGGCAGCCTGTTTTCCATCAACAACAGAGCAAATGCCAGCTGTGACAGGGCCTGGCTTTGGAATCTGCTGAGCAGGGTGATGGCAGCAACCTCGGAGGTCCTGCTTCAAAAACAATCACCCAAAACGGCCAAAATTGAAGCCTCCGCCCCGGTGCTCTCATGTGGAGCCAGCTCCAAAATCCACCCATCCGAAAGCAAATATTTGGCTTCATCCTGCTGGATCTCAGGGCAGGGCAGGGGGAGCAGGGTAATTTCCTAATTGCCCTCAGTCTCCCCAGAAAAATCCTGCCTCTGGCTCTAACGGGTTTAAATGGCTGAAACAGGATATGCTGGGAAAGTTCAGGCCTGGGGAAGTGGAGTTCTTTCCCGAAAGGATCGGGTGGAACGCCAAATCCCAGCTGGGTTCAGGCAGCTTGGCCATCGCCCACCTGGAGGGGAGCATCACCTCAGTGCAGGAACCTGCTCCAGTAAACAACTCATCTCACACACCACGATAAAAATCTACAAAAAGGCCAAAAAAAGAGCTGAACTTCTCGGTGAAACAGCCCCTAAGTCTCGTCTCTAAAGCTACAGGAGGGGCTCTGCTTGCAGGGCTGGGTGGAGGTGGGTGCAGGGAGAGCCTTGGGGAGCAGGGTACAAAAAGAGGAGAAACTTTGGAGGGTCCTCCAAAGCCACCTTTTGCAGGAAACAGGAGGGATTTTGTGTCTTTTCTTGGCTGGGAAGGTGGATCCCAGCCCTGTAGGGTTTCACCACCACAGTTCATGGGAAAAGGGGACGTGGGGACACTCGCAGGGTCTGGCCTCGAGGGCAGCACCGAGGGCACGGCAAAATATTTGCAAAAATAAAACTACAAAGCCCCCCCGACAGGGGCTGTGCCAGTGGTCCCACCAAAGCCCAGTGATGACCTCTCTGTCACCAGAGCTTGAGTCCACAGAGTGGCCGTGCCAGGCAGATAAAGGACCTGGAGCAATGGCACAGGGTCACCAGTGAAGACCAAAGACCTTTCAGAGCTCCATCCACCTCTGCATTTGCTTTCCTGCCAAGGGCTCTCAAAAAGAAATAAAACAGCTTTATTTTGGTTTGTTACTTGCCCACAGAGCCCCTCTCTGTGCCAGTTCCCTGCCTGGCATTACTCAGAGCACCTTGAAGCAGGATTTAAGGAGCACTTGTCAATCACATCATCATTGTCCCCAAAGGTTACAAGGGTGGCTTCTAAGCACCCAAAAGAGCTCAATCCACATTGGGTGGCATAAAGGTGGAGGGAGGAGGCTGCTCTGCTCGCCTTGGCTTTCAAAGCCATTCCAATTTTCTGCTTCCAGCAGAAAGGAGGAGCAGACTATACCAGCTTGGAAATAATTGAAACTAAAATAATCAAGACCCCAAACAAAAGTACACAAAAGCCAGGAATGGTTTGCAGTGAAGAATGGAGAGACAGCAAAAGTCTCAGCTGGATCTGTCCCCCTGCATTCAGAGGATTTGATCCGAGTTCACCTTTGCCCAGGTGAGGATTATGTGGCCACTTACAGATGCAAGTGTCAGGCACGGTTCAAATCCAGAGCAGGTGAGATCCTCAGCACCAAATCAGGCTGCCCAGAGCAAATTGCTCCTGGCCCCCACGTACCAGAGAGAGCCTCTGCTGCCATGCAGAACGTTCCCATGGCACTGCCAGGGAAGGAAGGGCAGGAATGTCCTCGCCCAGCTGCTGGCCACCACCCTGCTGGCTCCTCCAGGCAGCTCAGCCTGGGGGGTGATGAAGCTCTTTGAGTGGCAGCCCCAAAGCACCACCGTGGTGGGAGGCAGAGCCAAAACCTCCTGAAATTGGGGGTCTGCAAACCCCACGGTACCACAGCAGACCTGCCAGAAGCCCTCTGCTTGGCTGGCAATTAGGATGTGGCCTTCCCACAGCTCCCACAGCAGAGGAATGTTAGGAAACCTCAACCCCAGCTGGAGGGAGGCCAGAATTTGATAAATTTAAGCTCTGTGACTTCGAAACTTGTGTTTGCCTGGCTGCAGGACCTCAGGGCAGGGCAAGCTGCAGTGAAGCAGCTCCTGCACATTGTTCCAAAACTGAAAAAAGCACTAAGCCATGAATCATGGCACTTCCCAGTCGGCTCCCAAAGCCCTGCTACCTTTCCCATCACAAACACAACCATCCTGGGAGCCCTTCCAGCTCAGCTGTCCCACTCCACCCCTCAGCCAGAGCCAGAGGAGTTAAACCCGATGCCTCACTCTGCAGTAGAATAATAATAAAAGAGAAAAGGAAAAAAAAA